TAATTTTGTCATCTTGTGCTTTAAGAGCAGTAACCACCACGCACACATTAAGTGATTTATGCTGGCATTTATTATTGACATGAGCAATTTTGTTACTTATAATATTAATTTCCCGTCTATTTCTCCTTCTCTTCTGGCTTCTAACAATAGCTTAGCTTGGCTGTACCCTCAACTCTTCCAGTAGGTGACCTCTCCTCTAGAATGATTTTCAAAGAGGAGACTCTCCTTCTGTCTCCCTCACCAAGATTTAGCTCACGAGCAGCGGCTGCCTCGAATCCTAACTGCTTTACGTATCGACACACCCAGTGTGAAAGGAGACTGAGACCACCAGGAGGATGCAGCACCGTCCCCACAGGTCCTCATCTCGGTGACGGTGTCAGAGTGGTGGAGCTCTGGGTCTCATAAGCTCTCCCATTTTGAAGGCTGCACTGCCTACTTCTCATGCAACTTTGTACTTGATTTCCTCTATTGGCAAAGCCGTAATCCATTTCATTCATGGCTCAGCAAACTTACTTTACTTGTGCCTTTGGTCCAAAGCTAATTTATTATTGGTGTCGGTGTAAAACTCTGTCTTAAGTATAGTGTAAGTGAAATGGGATTATTTGGCTTTCACAAGGAAATTTATAATTTTTTTCCTCAAGGAGCTAGCTCAGCCATGACGTTAAGACATTCACATGTAAATGAAGGTTTACTTATGTAGCCAGCTTTAGGATAAAACATCCTTGGAAGCATTGTGGGGAAGGTGCTAATTGTTTTAACCACTGAATATTAGCCATACCCCCAGAAGCCACGAGAATTTCGATAGTTAAAATTTGCTGGACATTTGCTGTTACCAAATTTCTACTGATATTATTTGTGGAGCATAAACAGGAAGTGGCCCAAAGCTCTTCCCTCAAAGAGCCTAATTTTCACACAACTGTCAAATGCAGCAATTACTGTGTCTTCTTTTTTTTTTTTTAAAGGTGAAAGAACACTTTCTAGAGGTTTTTTTTTTTTAAAGAAAGTTTTGAAACCAGTTTAAAACTTCTCTTTCTTAAAGAGAGATTTTTTAGTCAAAACGTCTTCAGAGCCCGAGGAAAAGCAATGAAGCAGAAACCATATGATTCCAAGGCCAAGTGTATCAGAGATGCAGTCAGCACTGAATTCAGGCGTTCTTGCTGCACTCAGCAGACTTGGCCCGGCAATCAAAACCACTTGATTGTAAAGCTGATACTCCTATAACCAGGCAGGTTCCAGTACGTTGTGAGCTCTGAAAAAGCATAATTACAAACACAGAATGACAAGAAGCACACACTGACTTAATAGATCTCATTTCTTTCTAAGAGCGCACAGCTTTTCACACCTGTCCTTGGAAAACTCTTGCTCGGCATGGGAGGTGGTAGCCACCGCCCCCAAGCGATAGCACAGGGCACAAGAGGTTCAGGGGCTGGGCCAAGGCCACGTGTTGTCCCTGGCTCACCGTGATCCCTCTGTAAAATGCACGGGATTCGTTTATCACAGACATTTGAGGACTGACTATGTGTGAGGGCTGGAGTTACAAAAACAAATATCTGACCTCTGATCTTGAGGGGTCTGTAATCTACACGGGGTGGGAGGTGGGAGGGGGAGGTGAGCCGCCTCACTCTGCTTGGGAAACTGCCATGCTGGCTTTTTCACCTGCCGGGAATAACAGCTGGTCTTCCTCAGGGAGCACGGAAACCCCTCACCAGACCAGGCTGTGCGCAGAATGGGAGAGGGGTATCGCCATCTTTCATGTTGTCTGTATTATTTTCCTATTGCTGTGGAATGAATTACCACAAACTTTGTGGCATTGAACAATACAAATTTACGATCTCGTGGTATCAGGTAGGGGTTAGCTGGGTCCTCTGCTCACGGTCTCACCAGACTGAAATCAAGGTGTCAGCCAGGGAGGCGGTTCTTACCTAGGGTTCAAGGTTCTCTTCCAGGCTCATGGGGCTGTTGGCAGAATTTGTTTTCTTGTGCTGGTCTGAGTAGTTCCCATTTTCTTACTAGCCATTGACAGAATTGCTCTCAGTTCCTAGAGGCTACCCTCAATCCTTTGCTGCATGACCCTGGAAGGCTGTTCACAGCATGACTGTTTGCCTTCTTCCAGGTCAGCAGGAACTTGTCCCTCTGACACTTCACTTTCTTTTAAAGGGGGGGGGGGGGGGTCTCATTCTCCTGATTTGGTCAGGCCCACCAAGGATACTTTCCTTTTTAAACAACTCAAAGTTAACTGATTAGTAACCTGATCATGGGAGTAGTATCCCACCATCTTCACAGGTCCTGCCCACACTCAAAGGGAGGAGATTATGCAGGGTATGCACAGAAGGACATGGGAATCTTGGGGGCTGTTTTCAAATCCTGCCTTCCACAGTGTTCTCCCCTCGTCAGTGCATTTCCACTTTGCTGTGTTTGCTGCCTTAGCCTGTGGCGTCAAGTAGCCCCAGTCTCCAAGATGAAACTTCTCCCTCCCCCACCATCAGTATGCTTTTAAAAACTGAACCATATTCTATAAGAGGAATGAATCACCAACAGAGTTTCAGATAATGCAATGAACCCTTGCATTTGTATTATCAACGCTTAGCATAGTGTCTGGCATTTTGGAGTTCCCAATTTATGTTTCTCAAGAGATGAATGTGTGAATGATTAAATGAGAAATATTTTGGGCATCCTCATCAGATTACATTCTGTAAAAAAAAATTCCTGCCCCCCATGTGCAAGGCTACTCCTTTTAGTTTATATCACTTTCCCCCGATTTAAAAGTAATACATTGCTTGTTATAAAACACTTGGGGTTTTTCTTCCTTCTATGATTTTATTTTTTATATTTAACTTCTTAATCCATCTGGAACTAATTTCCCAATATGATGTTTAAAATATTCTATCCCCTACCCAATTAGTCTGGAATGTTTTTATATATGTGTGTATATTCTAAGTTCTTGTTTATAATAAACTATTTTTGTTTATTTTGTTAACTCTATTTCGTTAACAGAACTCTGTCTGTTCTACATCATTGATCTGCCCATCCAATTTGTGTGCCAGTAGCACCTATTTTAATGATTAGAATTTTATAATACGTTCTAAGACCCAGTAGGGCAAGTGTGACCTGATTATTCTTCTTTTGGGCTTCTCTCTCGACCAGCTCATGAAACAAGGGTCTGTCTTGCTGCTTCTCCAGCTCCCTAGGTAGCTTAGCCTTCTTTGGTAAGGTCTAGATATGGAGCCAGGTAGATCTAGGTTCACATTCTACCTCTGCATCTTCCTAGCTCAACTCCGCTGAGTCCCAGTGAGAAATAAACCGATAACAGTAATGCTATATCACAAATTTACTGTGCGAATTAACTGGGGCAGCTTCTAAGAATCACCCAGCACATAGTAGGTGGGCAGTCCCTCCTAGCTGGAGGGATGTGCAGATGCTCATGCTTCTGTCCCTTCATCTTTATGAGCAGGGACCACAACTCTTTTGAAAGCACAAATGCTGAGGCTTAGGTCTCTCAGACTCCGGCCAGCCTCTAGGCTGGGAGTATCCAGCATTAATTCTTGGCCCTGCCTCTGAGTAGCTTCTTCAGGACTCATACTGGTCCAAGGGAAGTTTGTTGATGGAGCCGTTACAGAGAACACGGTGGACTCTGGGAGGGGGCGTGAATGAAATACTGAAGCCCACTTGGCCTGCCCTTACAGGACCCTGGAAAGTGCCAGAGAATTAACACCCCCTGCTACATCCTCAGGGAGCCTATCTTTGGTTTTGGCAGCCAGAGAAAGTTCTCAAAGCCACAAATTACAGGCACTGGGGTTGGAAGTCATTCCAGCACATTCTAGCACTGAAGTGGTGTCGGCGAGGGGGAGAGGCGAGACTCTGACAGCACGTGCTGTTAAAGATCAAAGGAATGAATGCAATTGTAAGGACCCCCACAGTCTGCATCTGCCCAGGGGTTTATAAAGATGGTCTAGTTATTCTTAGGCAAAGTGCAGGCACTGGAAATCAAAGGCTTGTGAGGAGTCCCAAGGCAGCCAAGAGTTTTGAAGGCCAGAATCTTTCTTGGCACCTCCCCTTCTACTCAGAGAAGACAGGGTACATACTCATTCACTCCTTCAAGAATGGTCTCTAAAGCCTTGCTGTCTGCTCTCGGGAGCTAGGATAGAAGAAGGGTACCCAGCCCTGCCTTCAGGGAGCTTTCATGCTGTGCGGAGAGACAGAACGACAGGTGTCGCGTATACACGGATCTGCTCTCTGCTGATGGTGATGGGCAATCTGATTTCCCGTTCTAACTCCATTCCTGCATGGCCTTCTGAAAGAGAAAGGATCAGATATTGGAAGCTGGAAAGGTTCTTAGATTTTATGTAGTCAAGCTTCTTTGTTCTTTATAAGACAAAACTAAGCCCAGAGGAGGGAAGGGATGTATGTGCTCGAGTTCACCCAGCATCATGGCAGCCCTGGGACCTCACTACTTTCTCTGCCCCACAGTTTGCCACCTGAGAAGTGGGGCGGCTGTTCACCTTCCCTCAGCTTCTAGAGACAGCAGGCGCTCTGCGGGGCTATTACTGACACATAGTGAACATTTTGAGAGAGGAAGACAGAAGCAGCAGATGGTGTTGAGTCAACATAGTAAACACAGAAGCAGTTTACTGTAAAGGTTGGCCAGATGACCAGAGTTCAAAATTCTGGTTTCTTCACTTAAAAGCTGCATGAACTTCCGCCACATTCGTCCTCTTCCTCAACCCCATCTTCACGCCTGCAAAATGGTGACGGTGGCGTTCCCTCGAGGATTGTTTTAAGACTTAAAGCAGGTCTCCATCAAGCGCTCTGCTCGGTGCGCAGACTGCAGAGGTGTTGCTAGCGTAAGGGCTTTCTAGAACGGGCCCTGCCGGACGCGGTCCGACGCGCACGGGCCGCTGGGCCCAGCGAGACCAGGGTGCTCCGCTGACATCTCGGTGTTGGACTTTTCTAGTTCCGGGAGCCCTGGAGGAGCGGCACAGAGGCGGAGAGCGTGGCGAGAGAATGAAGAAACCAACCGGCCGGGAGAAGCATGAGGCGGCAGTGCGGCACTCGGTTTAGAGGGCTCGGGCCGGCGGCGGCCCCATGGGCAACCCTGCTGGCGCTGGGCCTCCCGGGCTGGGTGCTGGCGGTCTCGGCCGCGGTCTCGGTCTCGGTCTCGGCCACGGCCTCCGCGGCGCTCCCCGACCAGCATGCCCCCTCCGCCGGCCAGCCGCCCCTGGACTGGCTCCTCAGCGACCGCGGCCCGTTCCACCGCGCTCAGGAGTACGCTGACTTCATGGAGCGCTACCGGCAGGGTTTCACCACCAGGTACAGGATCTACAGGTGAGTGGGGGGGGGACCCCCCGGCTTGCGGCAGGGGCGCCCCAGAGAACCCCGGTAAGCCCCGGCCGCTGCGCGGGGCTCCGCCGGCTGAGCCCACTCCCGCGCCCCCCAGACTGAACTAGAAGGGCGGGTGGGGGAGCGGCCGGCCAGGAAAACAAGCCTACCATGTTGGTTTTTAAAAAAAGATAAAAAAAGAAAGAAGAAAACACATACAAGCTGGAAAACCTGCTGATGCCTCCTGGGGGAACATAGCAAAAGGGTTTCTATTTATAGGTTGTGCTGCTTATAAATTGAGGACAAATCAGGCGGCATGGAGTCAGCGTGTGGCCCGTGCTGCCGCAGGAGGTCAGAGTCAAAGGCTGGGGCCGGGCTTTAACTAATGGGTTAGATACTTTTATGAGTTGTAATTACCTAGCCAGGCAAATGAAGGAGGGGCAGCTCCAGCTCCTCTCTGGGAGGTCTGGAGAGACCTGCAGGGTCAGGGGCCAAGCCTGCCTTGACCCTCGGCCCCACCACAGCCTCAGCTGGCCTTGCCTGTGGAAAAGGGCTGGATCTTCTTGGCCCTTTAGCCCTATCCTTGGGAGCATCAGAGCTGAAAGTCAGACATGAGACTGGCCATGTCCATCTGATGAGGGATAAGCCAGGTATATATTCCCAGCTGCTGGACTAGCACTTCAAAAGGAGAAAGTTTCTGGAAATCCTCACCTCGGTGACCCAGAGAGCCTCAGGGCTCTTGGGAGTGCATCTCTGAATAAAAACTTCCCCTTCATCCCTCTGCCCACTCACCCTGTTGTCATGGCTCTTTTGTCCTCTTCACCTTGCCCGTGGTCTTCAGACAACCCTGGGAGCTTTGCTGAAGTTTTTTCCTTTTATCAAAGACATTTATTTTCCAATTACAAATGAGTTTCTAAAAGCAACAAAAAGAGAGAAAATATGAAAAAGCACAAAAAGAAATAAAACCAGAAAAATCACTTGTTCCTTTAGCAACTAGAGGTCGCTATTATTAACCTTTTGGCACATGCACTTTTAATCCTATGAACATACTGAAATTTGGGGCCCTCTTGCTCAATCTAGCACTTTACATGTCTTATGCCCATCAGCTCATTTAATCCTTATAAGAACCCTATATTGGAAGAACAATTATTATCCACTTTTTACAAATGAGTTCAATGAGGTCCAGAGAAGTTAAGGAACTCGCCGAAGAGCATGCAGCTAATAAAGAGTGGAGCCAGGATTAGCTTCCAAGTCGTCAGACTCCAGAGTCTGGGTTCTAGAAACATTTTTTTTGTTGTTGTTTCTGAGAGTTTTTTTTTAAACTTCTGCAATAACCATGCAGTCTGTTTGGGCTAGTATAGGGTCTGAGAAATAAGATTTTAGGGTATTCATCACTGGAAGACTCCCCAGTTTACCATTGGGGCAGCCATTTACAGAGGCAGTTCTCCTGGTATGTGATTCGCACACATGGATGCAGATAGAGCAACAAGATCATGTGTCTGAGGGGCTGGTACTTCATGGGTGCAGAGGTATATAGGGATAAAGTCCTGCTCTCCTTTCAGACCATTTCTCTTCTACTGTGCTTGGATCCGGTCTGGTCTTGGAAGAGATTGCAGTTCACGCTCTGCTTCAGGGGCTCCGATCCTTGCCATCCTCCAAAGAATACAGGAGAAATTTGCTAGGGCCACTGAGGCAGGATGCAGCCAAATCAGGCCAGGAGAGGCAGAGTTAACACCTGCTCAAGTGAAGCTAAATGAGCAGAAGAGGTTAACTTGACTTTCAGTAAATATATAAGAAACTGTACATATGCCCCCCACAAATTTCCTATAAGGTCATTCAGAATGATGCTTCTCTTTTATTAAAGAACTTCTTTTTTCATCCAGAGAGATACAGAGAGAGAGAAAGAGAGAAAATCTACCCTAGAATTATTTAAGCAGCAAATCCCTCCAGTCCAGGAAAACAAGATTTAATTTACCTTAGCCTTTTCAGTTCATCCCAATCTTTTAGAAGCCCTGTCATCACCAAATAGATATATATATATTTTAAGTATATTGGAACTGAAATGTTAGGCCGAGGATCCCAACACCACCATTCACTTCAAAGGGCTATAGAAACTAGAGGGAATAAACCATCACGTTTCTTCTCCCTCAATAGATTTTTCTTCTCATGGAGCCCCAGCCCCAAGCCTGGCAGCCACTGGATGCCTGGGCGGCAGCTCAGAGCCAGTCCATGGGGAGTGTCTGTAATCACTTCTGCACCATCAACCGTTCCATCAGGTGGTAATGGTTTCCTGATCATTTACTGTGACAAGCGCTTACACTGTGCCATTCTGTTTCTCTGGGGTCAGTTATTGCACATGAACCTGTACTTGGGGAAACAGTAACCAGTCATTCTGACAGGAATGCAGCATTCTGATGTGTGACCCTTTGGTGGGAAGAGAGAGTGGTCACACACGGCTGCTCCAGGAGCATTCTGGGAGTTTTGCCTTTAGTTATTAAGCAAAATGGTGGACCCATGGATACTGTTGTAGGGCTCTATGTTATCCCTGTGGGAATTCATTTTTATCCCTTCCGCTTTTGACTCTAGTGGCAGTTCTCTCTGGCAAATGCAAGACCTTGCTGACTCTGACGAAAGTGTCACAGAAAACGGGTAGAATATACACTGAGAGTCATCCCCAGTGACCAGAAGGGCATTTTGTCTAGAAGGGCACAGGGAGAAAAGGTGTACAGAGAACATCAGTCCTGGGTTTCGAACAGCATTAGTCTTTCACTCGTTTCTTTAAGAAAGCTTTCTGTACGTAGAATTCAGATGGTGTCCACCTGTGCCTTCCATAGAAGAAAGGAGATGAAGAGTGGGGGAAGAATAAGACTTTCCCATGGGGCAGAAGCACATTTGCTCTCTCACACAGCAGGAGGGAGGCTCTCCTCTTTTTGTGTGTGAATAGATCATAACCAGCATACGGCAAGGTTCTAATGTTAAGCTCTGAATCCCACCTATTCTTACTTGGATATCAGAGTGTGCGCTTAACTTTGGGAAGAGGACTGGTTGTTGTAGAATAGCTTTGGCCTGTAATTGTGGACCCCTGGAGATTGTTGCCCTGTCCACTTCAAGTTTGTATTCCTGTAGGCACAGGTGCTTCAGAGTGAAAGTTCGGGAGCCAGATGACCTGGGTTCGAATCCTGGACCTGCAGCTTACTAGCTGTATATTGTTGGGCAAATTACTTAATTGCTTTGTCCCCCAATGTCCTTATTTATAAAATCAGGACAATAATAGTTGCCTACCTAGTGGATTGATGTGAAAATTAAATTAGTTAATTGATGTTAAGCACCTAGAACAGTGTTTAATAAATATTACCTATTACTGGATTGTCCTCAACAAATAATAGCCGATGAAAGAATGGTATTGAGATGAGAACCATGGAGCTATCGTTGTAATAATGTCTGCTGAGGGCTTCACACCAACAAACCATATGGCAAGGAGAAAAAAAAGTCATTCTCTTGCTTTCCTTGTCAAAGCATATTAACCTTTACCCCTCAATCTATTTCTCTTTGGGAGAGGAAACCAACCAAAGGATGAATGAAATCTCTCTGGGACACATATTTACTGGTCACCACGGGTAAAAATCTTTCTCCTAAAGTCAGGGATTGCTGAGCAGGCCTTCCTTAGGACACCCTCCAGAGGCCAGTCACTGCCGGCTCCCTATCCTGGGGGATGAAATGAATGATCTCAGGATGGCACTGTTATGAGAAGAAAGACAATATGCACTTTTGTTAAGCCTTCCTAAATGACAGGATGGGCTTGGCTATCTCACCCAGCTTTGGGGCAAGCTTTTAAATTCCATTAGCCAACCTCTCACCATGTCCTCAAGTCCTGTTAGACCAAGATTTGAGCAATCAGCCCACTTCTCAGACTCTGTCTCTTAACAGGCTAGTCGTAAGAGCTTTAAGCGCAGAGATCTTGTCTCCACTTCCATTTGTGACCTCACTGCCCCCTCCCTTGCTTGACTCCATAGCCCCCACTAGGACAGACACTTAAGTGCTCAACCTGTCACAGCAGTGCTATGAGGCAGATGAGGGCTACTGGGGCCCAAGGCAGTGAGACAGACTTGTTCAAGGTCGGAGAGGTAGCCACCCACAGCCAGAAATAGCACTCGGGGCTCCTGACTTCAAGTCTCCTGCTCATTACTCTAGACCATGCCACTTCCCTCTGACTGGTAAGTGCATCTTCATCATACCACGCAACCTAATCAGGCACCTAAATTGAGCTGATGCAAATGTAAATATGGTTTCTCGAAACACTCTAGCGGTAATGTTCCATTCTCTCCTTGCTACAAATCAAAGTAATGAGCAGTCTGGTTTTTTATTATTTCTTTTTGTATTAAAGCTTTAATAGAGAGATAATCATGGGATTGGAAAAAATCCAAGCCAGTATGATGAAACGCTTGAAACTCGGAAAGAATAAATTAAAATTAAGAGAGAAAAGTTAGAAATCATACAGAACAATGAGCATAATATGGTGGTTGGGAGAGAAGCAAAGCTAGGTATAATTCCAAATTATTGATCTTTGTCATTTTTACCCCCATTTCTGTCTGCTTCTCTTTTAGAAAGGAAGGGTCTGGTGATACATTAGAAGCCTTTTGGGAGGAAAACAAACAAAAATGAAATTAAATACGTGTCTTCCTTGACAAAAAAGGATATTATGTTTTGATTGTATTCTGGGCAGATTTTGAGAACCAAAGGAGGACAAAACTGAAAAACAAGAGAGTGGAGTGATACCCAAAGGTGGGTAACATTGAGGCAGGAATGTGTTTTAGCAGGTGCCTCTGGAAGCATCCAATAGGGCAAGCAGGGGTCGAATCAGATGATGTGGTGAATGAGGGCAGTTAGGGCAAAAGGGCCTTTCAGCAGGCATCTCAGCAATAACCCTAAGAAAAGACAATCTTTGTGCAGCTCATCAGGATGAAAGATAAGATCTGGAAACAGCTTAGATCTGAGGGAAGGGAGAA